TCAGCAGGATGGTATTTATGATGCTTAGGTATTTTTTAAGAGCAGAAGTCAGGATATTGTCTGTGGTGCCTCGACATGTCTTCCACTCAAGTACTGAAAGCGTTGCTCAAAACACACACCAGAAGTCAAGGTCCTTGCCCCTAGGGGTTTGCAGTTTGAGTGGCTGCTGCCTGGTAAAGATGTGCCCTCCAGATCAGTTGGATACTTTTGGGCTGACCTCACCGCGCAGCAGGTACTGAGTAACCGGGCTATGCCACAGCTCTCCTAGGCCTCCTACTTGGCAATGTTTTAACATGTATGAAGAGGAAGAGCGCCAGCCTTCCTCCAGAGCACATGAATAAAATGAGAAACTTGTGCTGGATCGAAGACAGCGAGAGAGATGTACCTTGTCAGCTCGTGAACATTGAACTTCCAGGGCGTATCTGGTTCTCGGAATATAACTTCATAGTTATTTTCCCGGGCCTGAGGAAGCACACAGAAGGTTTAGCCATAGCCCGATGGCTGCTGAGCCCCCGGAGCCGCTTCTCCTCCCTCTGTGAGCACCACCCTGAGATTTTAGCTGGCTGAGACGTGTCACATCCCGCCAGGAGCCATGAGCAAGGAGGTAACGGTGACTCCCACCAAGGCTGTGGACTGAGTCCCAGCTAGTTCACATGCTCTTACATCAGGGATTTGAGTGCCCAGCAAACCTCAGCATAACTCCTGGGCATGTAATACACTTGCTTGATTGCTTCTAGCTTGGATTTTTTTGGGTGGCCAGAAAAAAGTTTCATGGTAGGAAAAGGTGGCAGGGAGCTCTGCTGACCCTTGTACTTTTTATCCACTGCTGGCCACGATCTCTCACTTCCTACACAGTCACCCCAAACATTCACAATTTCTACTATTTTAGTAAAACTCCTAAGGTTTGTAGTACTAGTGCTAACACCTGCCTCTTTTGGGCTCCATAAAAACATTACTTTTTAGACTCTAATTTCTTAACTGGCAAGACCATAACCCAAGAACTTACAGCAGTGCACAAGCATGAATGTAAGAAGTTGGGCACTAACCTTATGAAACTACTAAAAATACAGCCAATAAGTGCCATCTCTGTCAGAAGCACAGGAAACAGATACAAATGTGTCCTCAAAGATTTCATTGTGCATTTTTCACAAGTCCTGAATTAAAATTATAAAGCATATCTTGATATATTTGTCAATTATTAATTTTGAAACTGTTCCCTTCATGCTCCTTTTGGGGACGGCAGTAACCACCTGGCTGCCAAGAAGTTAAAGGGCAAGATCAATGGCTGTTAATCTTTTGGAGTGATTTTGTTTCCACTCTGTTATACAATGAAATAGATTTTTTTTAAAAAAAATCCTCCAGGTATCACTTATCATTAACTATAATTACATGAACTAAGGGAAAGTGGAAGTAATTACTTTTAGCTATGAAAAGAATCCTCTCTGTCCCATTGCTTCTCAAATGTTATAGCTGAGCATGTAAAAAAAATAAATCAGA